ACAATATATCCATGGGATTTTTCTGCTCTATCTGAGGAGGCTTGATTTCAGGTGGATTAAGCAACCAACCTTAGTTTTTTCTCATAGGTTTCTCCCTCATTTCTCCCTCATTCTCCCAATGGGTAGGCTAAATTCTGTGATTTTCTTAACATAGTGTCAAAAAAAAATAAAATAAAAATATTTGTGAAAAGATGTTCAAAACCAGCACTGCTTCTGGAAATTTAATATATTGCAAAAGTGACCTGTGTAAGACTATGGGATTCTTTTAGGTCAAGCAATAATTGCATTATACTACTGACATAATATTTCACCCTACTGCAATAAGGCATCCTGTTCTTTTAGTAAACTACCTTTTTCAGAATCTCAGTGCTTTTGGCACCTTTAAGAACTGTAGGTCAAATTAGTAAATATATCAGCGAGAGCCTTGCTGAGACAAAAAGCCATTGAACTGGTCATAGCCAGGAGGGGAAGAGATGTCTGAGCATGCAAGTGACTCTCTCAGCCCCAGTGAAAACACAGAGCTCCTTGAAATGAGGAATAAAACAACTTGGCCTAAATAATACAGGGTATTTAGATTATTGCCATTGTAGTCAAACATCCTGAAACTCTGTCTAGAGTCTTGTTCTCAAAACCATCCTTTGTGGTTTTCCTTTTTTTTCCTTTCAATTTCAAGATAAAACAGAAAGAAATCCTGACTTTTCCTTGTTACCAACTGTAACAAATACAAAATACCTACAAAAACAAATGTATTTCAAATAATTTGGTCTTTCCCAACTTGTCCATTTTTCTAGACTGTAATGAACATAATTGTCTTTTTAGGGAATTCTTCTCCTTTTCATGGGAACAAAAGGTGAGAATAAGTTAAAAAAAGCAAAAGGCATCTTGAACATATCAGTGTCAAAAGCTAAAATCTTAAGTAGCTGAGAAGAGTAAGAAAAAACGTTACACATCTGGTTCTGTGAATGTGGAGGCATATCATGAAATCAAGGAAAACCAGTCTTTTGTGCAGGAAAAATTTAAAGATGCAATTTATAACTCTTACTCACCTTCATTCCTTGCATTTCCTGATTTGCTAAAGGGAGACACTCAAAGGTTTCAAATGGTTGCACAATTATACTAGAAAATGCTTCATAACCACACTAAAGGAGAAAAAAAATCCCATACCATGTACAAACATGGCTAGCCATGTGCCTATCTGCCACTGACATCCTGCCTTATTCTGATCTGCAAATTAAATCAAAAATATTAATTTCATCCAGTAACTCAGAGAAGCATGGACACCAGAAAGCATTTCTTCCCCCCAGCTGAGAGAAGGCTCAGCTCCCACATCCATTCCACTCAAACAAGTTGAGGTCAGCTCCACTAGCTGATCGAATCTGCCCTACTATTTTTAATCCCTTGGTT